GAAAGCAAACCAGCAAAGGGAAGGGGGAGGAAAAAGAGAAGCTCGCCTAGAAAGCTTAGGATTTTTTTCCCTCTTTCAGATGTGTAATCAATCATTCGAGTAGGAGGCAGCAAAATTGTAAAGATTCGATAGATTAAAATGCAAATGAAAGGTAGAAAAAGAAACATTAACATGGCAATCAAAGATTTAATAATCGTAAATCACGGTGGGGTTTTTTTGTTGCAGCTGCAGTTTGTGTGTTTTTTATGTTTTAATCATGTTCGTTCTATAAATAAATAATTTCTGAAACGAGACTAATTTTTCACTATTTTAACCGTGAGCTATGGCACTAAATATTTTTTTTTTAAGTATGGAACTCCAGATTGCAAACTATCAGACCAGAAAAGGAGGAAAATATAGCTAAGTTGGATTAGTTCACATTTGAAATTTCAAGTGCAATGTCTTCGCACTGCCGACTGCTTACCTTTCCAATTGAAATCCTTATAAAGTTTATTTGGAATCATGAATGTTTATGTGAAAGCAGACAACCGGCGTTTCTTTACAAGGCTAACGGTAGCTCCAACCCTCATTCCTGGAGGAAATATGGAAAAATATATTTACATATATATGTTCTTTTCCCTATATATATATATATATATATACAGGGGAAAGAACAATAACACTTAGGCTGTATTACCTTCAAACTAAAGCGTTGTTAAATTTCCAAGGGATGATTGAAGAGGGGAAAACCTGGGGAGAGAGGTGATCAATGCGGGGAAGGACGAGCCGGAGAGATTTGCTCTCCCCTCGGTTTAGCGCTGCGTCTGAAAGGGAGGCTCCGGGGCTGCCTAGGGTGGCTGTGGGAAACTCAGCATCTTTCTGTCCCGGCTCCCACGGGCTCGGCTTTGGTCCCCCCAAGTCCCGGATTATGGGGTGCACTGGTTCATCCTCTGGGACAGAGGCTGGAAAATAATTCTTTTAACTTTCGGGTGCAGCGGATGGAGTTCATTTGTTGCTGCGAGGAGGGGGGAAAAGCAGTTAATCTTTACTTCGTTGGTAATCCTTAAAGAGCCAAGGGAGAGAGAAGGAAGAGGGGGGAAAGAAAAAACCTGGGCTCCTCCGGTTTGGGGGTTTTCCGCAGCGCTGCCCTCTCTATAGAGCGCTCGGCGAAAAGAAACCGGTAAAAAAAACCCAACTAAATGCGGGAAACGAGCCGCATTTCTGCGCCCTCCTCCTCGCCGAGGGGGCCCAGCTCTGTCCTGTGCCCCCCTCCCCAGGTCCCCCGGTGTCTCCGGGAGCGCTCCCCGCCGCCGGACCTTCCCCCGGTGCGGCCGCCGCTCCGCGCTGCGGGGCCCCGCGGATCCCCCGCGGCCGAGAGGATGTTGCGGGGAAGGGTCCCGCTCCGAGGAGCCCCCGCCACAGCACCCCCGCACCGCCGCCCCTCCAGGCAGGTACCGGCCAAACTCTTTAGAATTGGGGGGTGGAATTCACCGAATGTTTTTTTTTTCCCCAGCCAATTCACATTAAATCCACTTTAATTTTTTTCCCCTGCTGGAGCCCTTTTTTTTTTTTTGGTGGTTTTTTTTTTTCCCTCCCTCGGTCCCTCTCCCCAAACTGGGGGGTCCCAGCAGGACGGCCCCGCCGGGAGCTGCCCTGGCCCTGCCCGCCGGCTGCCGGGGCCGCGCTCCGGGCGGTGCCCGGGACTTGTTGTCTGCCAGGCGGGGAGCGGGGGCGGGGGGGTCCGCGGCCGGGAGGGTCCGGGGGGGGCCCCGCCGCCTCCCGCAGCCCCTGACCCCGGCATGCACGGCGCGGCTCCATTGATCATCCCGGCCCGCCACCCCCTCCCTTTATGAGATAATGCAATTACAAACATCAATAAGGAGCTGCGAGGGGAATCATTATGCGGTGACAGTGATAAATGACGGTGCAGAAATAGCATGCTTTTTTTTTTTTTTTCCCTCCCTAACAATCCAGGGGCTTTGGGGGCTGAGCACAGTCACCAAGGTAACAGATGACATCCAAAATGGCACCAAAGGAAAAAAAATGAACAGTCTTTCTTTCGCCTTTCACTCTTTTCGCCCTGCTCCTCCAAAAGAGTTAGTTGGGGCTTTGGAAGCAGCTGCCACACAGGCATGCGGGTATTTCCACACGCATTAAAGGGACGGGGAAGGTTTGCTGGCTGTCACACAAAAAGCACCAGCCCGGCCCGGAGCTGAGCAGCCACCTCTAGGCGGAACCGGGAGCGCCCACCCACCCCACCCGCGATCGCCCCCGCGCCGCCCACGCACCGCCAGCCCCTGCCCGCGGCCGGGGGCAGCCACCTCCTCCTGGCCCTTGGGAAGCGTTCCTTCGCTTTTATATGGATATAAATATATAATAATATATATATATGTATGTTGTTATCCCGGGCGGCACAGCAAGGTCAGGGGAGTGGGTAAATGCTCTGCTGTTTTCCACGCAGGTTCAGGACGCGGGGTGCGAGGCCCCGGGTAGCGGGGGGACTTCCCACGCACCAGCGCCGGGGGTGGAAATATTCACCGCGTGGCCGAAAAGTGCCGATTCTGAGCCCAAAAGTACCTGTGGCTGACGGATGCACGGCAGGGCAGGCACCGCCCCCCCCGCCTCCCGCGTATCCCTCTGCCTGGAGGGGGGCGCGGTCCTCCTGGCTGGAATTTGTTGTCCCCCCGCAAAAAACCCTCGTGGGGTGCGGGTGCCCAGCCCAGACACAGGGCAGGCCCTGTGCAACTACCGCGCTGAGGGGTCTGGTCCCTCGTCCGCCTCTGGACAGGGGGAGGTATTGGCTCCGCGGGACACTGCGCCCGGGGGTGCGGGAGGGCCGGTGGGGGGATGTTTGGCACAAAAAGAGAAGGGGGACGCGGGAAATTGGGGCCGATTAAAAAAAAAAAAAGCAACAACCTAACCAAATCACCCCCCCCCCAAAAAAAAAAAAAAAAAAACAACACAAAAAAACTGGAGGGAGAAATAGGAGAAATAGAGCCTCACGGAGGGTTGCGCAAACTTTGGTCCGCCAACGCGCAACGCCTGCGGCGCTGCGCGGGCGGCCCCAGAGCACCCCGCACATCTCCCCCCCCCCCCCCCCGCGTCACTCTCCTGAGCCCCCAAGAGATGGCAGTCGAAGACGGCTTTCCTCCTCCTCCTCCTTCTCCTCCTCCTCCTCCTCCTCCTCCTGCTCCTCCTGCTCCTGCTCCTGGGCGGCGGGCAGCGGCAGGACAGCGGGGCGAGCCGCTCCCCCCCCGCTCCCGCACTGCGCCCCCGCGCAGCCCCCGCGCAGCCCCCGGGACGGGGTGAGGCGCGGAGGCGCAGCCGGGAGGCCTTCCCCGGGCCCCTCCGGGCCCCCCCCGGTGCGGTGAAAGGAGGGTAGCTAGGAAACAGCGAGCGGCCCGAAAAGGCGGAATTTCCAACGTGTAAAATGTTCTTAACGGAGCCATTGAGAGAGTGCAATAAGGCGTGAGGGGGAACTAATCTCCCCATTTAAATGTTTGTGGCAATTTTATCTAAATGAATTTTAATGCTAAACGAGGGATAATTCCCTATTTGTAACCCGTTTACTTCTCTTTCTTGTGCCTCTGAAGCTGTCTAACATCATGCGATGAACAATAACAATAAAAATACTGTCAAGGCATATTCTTCATTTTGAATGTGTTATAATTACAGCTGATTAAATGTCTTGGGATGTAATAGTGGGTTTAATTTGAAATGGGTCCCCCCTCCCCAAAAAATAAAGTCCCACGGAGGAAGGTCTGTGCCCCACTTCGCTGCGGCCGCGAGGAGAAGGGACGCGTGTGCCCTCTCCTGCGAGAGGGCGGTTTGTTTTTGTCTTTCAAGAAACATTAAAAAAACATCCAAACACAGCACAACAAAACAAACAATACAAAGAAAAAAAAAAGAAGGAAAAAAAACTAAAAAAAAAGCAAAAAGCGAGCCCCGTTCATTCACGTTTTGGCAGAAAAGTGTCATTACTCCTGGCTCACAAAGAGGGAGTCGGGATGTGCAGCCTCCTTGGCGGCACTGCGGCCCTTTAAAAAAACAGGGGAGGAAAGGAGGGGGGAAAAAAAAGAACACTCAGGGTTAAAAAAAAAAAAAAGAGGGGAGGAGGTCCAAGCCGTGGGGGGAGAGGACCCCATTTTGGTGGCTTGCTTCACTGAGAAAGGTCTGCACTGCCTGCTTGCACCTCTGCCTGCACCCCTGCCTGCCCTCTGCCCAGCCCGGGGGTACGCAGGGGACACGCAGAACAGGAGGGCCCCGCCGGGAGCCTGTCCCAGAACACCTCCGGGACACCTCCCGCCGGGGATGCCGGCTGGCTTGGGGGGGGGGGCTGTTGCATGATTTTGCCTTAATTAAGATATTTGTGTCCTTTTCCTAGCCTCGGGAAACTCAATTTTTTTCTTCTATAGCTGCGATTTGATTTAAAGCAAACGAGAAGGTCTTGCAGCCGCAGCCTGCCCAGGCTGGCTGGGACTGTTTTACTCGCTGGCTGCGGTGCAGAAAAAGTACAAATGTGTGAGGAAATTGGTTAATGAGGAGAGGAGAGGAGAGCCTGCATTGGCCTTGCTTGCAGGGGTCCAGCAGCACCTCATGCCCTTACAGATATGCATTGCCCAGGCAATGTTTCCCAAGTTTTATTTTCCTCCTTCTTTAGTATGCTCAGTTCCAGAAAGAAACTCCATAATTTAAACTGTGTATTAGAACTAGAATTTGGAGGGGGGGGTAATACTATTTACAAATTTCTGTCCAATAATGCCCTACGATATTACATTTATTAACAGGCAACAGTTCCCATCCTGAAAATTTACAGTGCAACTTCCAAGAAAGTTTCTTTACTGAGGGTAGCCTTATTTTTACATTCTTTAAATATGAAGCTGATATTTAAATAGCAAATGATAGATAACATCTCCAGAGCCAGCTGAATTTTGTAGCTGCTCAGCTCCCAATTTGGGATAGAATGGCTACAAATACTGCATGGGGACAGGAAACAAATTTTGCAAGCAGTGGAGTCACCATGACAAAAAATAATTTGTTTTTATTTTAGATTCAGATTTCATTACTGCACTCAAACTACTACAACTGGGCTTTGAGTTATTATACAATCCAAACTGTTTCAATCAGAAACTCTAAGACTCAGTGTGCAATGATTATTATTAATAATAATTAGCTCCTTGGTTTCTTGATAGAAAAAGGCTATCAACAAGCATTTGTTTAACCACAACAAAAGTATAATTAGCTTATCCCACTTAGTAAATCTGTATGCATGCCAACTCATACCAAACTGCTACTTTTACAAAAAATTGCAATAATACAGATCATTTTTCCAGTCCTTTTTGCACAAAATTTATTTACAATGTATACATAAATGCTCCATGATGGGACTATGGAAAAAAAAATGCACACATGACCGATGTCTTGCCCAGAAAGAAAGTCAACATATTAAAAATAAATCTTCAGTCCATGTTTCGAGCTGCATAAAACAGGAAGTGATGTACAAGGTGGTGGTTGCTGCATGGGGACAAGGATGCTCTGATGTGACAATTAGGCTTCAAATACACTGCCTTTCCGTTTCCATGCTTCCTCCTACCAGTCTCCTTAAGACACTGCCTGCAACAGCTGATTAATCATTGTTGATGACTGCAGTTTTTCCCATCCTTCCCGATTTACATCTGTTCAGGCCAATTCAAATATGGTGAGTAAATGAATTAGACATGCAAATTCACGCCCCAGGCTAGAAAGAGAGAGAGGGAGAGAGATGGGGAGAAAGGGAGAGAAAGGGAAGAAAGACAGACAGAGAGAGAGGAGGAGAGAGGGGGGAGAGAGAGAGTGTGCATGGCTGAAATCCTAGGATAGAAGAAAGATTCTTCTGCCTGACATAGTTATTTTAATGCTCTAAAAATCCTGCAAATAAGCCCTTTCTGTCATTTGCAGGATAAGTGTAAGGCTTCTTTTTTAATGTAAGGAGGCTTCTGGAGGAAGTGAAGAGCTATGGAAACAACACACATAGTGTGGAAAAATTTCACATTTTTTTTAAAAAATCTATAAGAAACAACGTAATATGGATAACAGTATAATAGCATTTTACAATATTTCACTCTTTGTTCTCTTAATGTCTTATATAGGTATTTAGCATGTCCCCAGAAGTTGACTTCGGTTGGTGTTTTCCTGCTTTTCAGGGTCCCTGTGAAGAACTGGAACGTCCCTTGGTCCAAAGTTGACACCAAGAACTCCATAGTCATTGCAGAAAGACAATGTTTGAAATCTACCATCGCTGCAGACAACGTGTGTTTCCCTTAAGCTACTGAGCATGAATGTCCATCACTTGTCCGCTCACTGCTGGCTCGCCGGTATGAAGCATTGTGGGGCTTGATGCTGACATGGGCATTCCAGGGTGGGGTGGTCCTCCATGCATCATCATCGCTGGGTGGTGAGGGTGTCCAGGAATGTAGGTATGCATGGGGGGGGCCATGACGCAGCTGAGCAGGATGGGGGGGCATCTGGGGCGGGGTATAGCTTGGCTGTCCCATATTCATACCCATTGGACTACCCCGAGACACATAATCCCCTGGCATACTTTGCAGCCCTGCGGAGAGAAAGAGGTGGTGGTGAGTGGTGGGGACTGGCTGCTGACATTGGGCCGTGAAGCTCATCTGCTCGGGCACAGAAGGCCGGGATTGGGCCCAAGGAGGGATGCAGAGTCACGGATACGCGAGCACAAGTTGCCTTTGTGGAATCGGAGTCTAGGTATGGACTCACAATTAAGGCAACAGGAACGATTCCCAGGTCAAAAAGAAACCCCCCAAGAACCTCCTCTCCCTTCAAAATACAGAGGTTTTGGAGATAAAACCGCTTTCTCCTTTTCTGGTTAGGAACATATGCGATGGAGACGTTTCTGATCTGGAAGCACGCGAGAGGCAGAGCCAACCTGAAGATGACTAAAGTCACAAGGAGCGGTGGCACCAAGCCCTGTGAGGGCTTTCAGGTGGGCTCCATTCCCCATGACCTTACTCCAGCCACCTGCCCTCGTCTCCCCACTTGTAAAAGCATGCTGGGAATACAGGGCAGGGAATCTGTTGTCGTTAATGAGGGGCTCAGGAGGAGAGATGGGTTAAATAGGTGTCAAGGTTTATCAACAGCTATTTATTTAGCTCTTGAGCCTGATCACTTGGAATCTGTCCCAAGTATTCGTGCCATTCAAGTAGATGCTATACAACAAGAACATACATTGCTGAACAAAGGCCTCATATGAAGCCGAAATTGATAGGATTACTAAGTACGACTGTTAAACCAGACCCATATTTTTAAACACATTAAAAAAATATATATTTAATCAATAACAGTTATCAATTAATTCTTCCCCTCCTGCTCACCTCTGGCCACAAAAAAAAAAAATAAAAAATCAGACGCGCAACTCAGTCAAACCTTTCAGTGGGTTTGGGAGAACAATAAGAAAAAAAATTGGACCTAAAACAATAAAACCTCCTGCTTTCTGTGGGCCTCTGCCTTCTGCTTGGATTGCTGTAGCTGATGGGAACTGACAGGTGTATTGTTTCGGAGAGCTATAAGCTCCATAATCATCAAGGGTGAAAGGCATACGCTATTGCTAAGTAGGTTCAATTGGCTTTAGTTCTAAGTAAGAGCGCGCTGTGAATGCGCCGAACACCTTGGAATCAGGTCTCAAGGCTCTAGCAATGAATAGCTGCTTAATCTAGCCTAAAGGAACAGTTTTGAACTAATGAAAATTGCTTATAAAATATACTGTACTCACAGCTCTTTAATCAAAAAAGATGATAATATTTTTTGTAATAACCTATTAATTTAATTGGTCACGAAGCATAAAATACATCATTTAAATTTAATTGACCCAGAAACTAAGAAACAATATTTAAATTAACTAAGCTAGAAATTTTCATGATGAGGTAATAAGGCTGTTGCATTCCCAAGCTCAGAGGAATGTTTTCACAGCTAATTGTTAAAACTTAGTTTTGACTTGGGCCCAGAGAAGACTACTACGAAATACACTTGCCCTGGGTAACTTCAAACCCTATGTTAATATAGGCTGGGGGCACAACAAAGATGCTGAAATAACTCTTTCAACTCCAGAAAAGAGCAAGAGGAACAGAATCACACACCATTTAAACATGGTACCGGTGTCTTGGTGTTTCAAACCACTTTACTCTTAAAAAAAAAAAGAAAATACAAAAATTTGTATAATGTATTTTCCCCTATAAAAGACAAGAGGGAAAAAAAAAACTGGGACAGTTTTTCTAGGCTTTCTTCGCGAGGCCTGCCACTGAAGATTGCATTAATGATCTCTATTTTTGTATACTGAATAAGTCAAATCCATTTGTCACACTGCAAGTGATGGCATACTTAATTTGGATATAGTCAATTAGCCTGGGCTAAGCTCCATAGCCTGCTGCGCACACCTCTATTTTGTATTCTCTCTTTTTCCTTTGCCACACGTAATCCCATTATGACGGACAGACAAAGAGAAATAAACTTGAAAAAAAAAAATGAAAAAAAAAAAAGAAATCAAAGTTTTGTCCATCGCCTTCCAAAACGCAACTAAGTGAAGCTGCCGTTTTTTTGTTTGGTGTGTTTCTTTTTTCCTACCCTACGAGAAGTCTCTGCTTGGCTTTTTTGGTGTCTTGCAGGTTAGCGGGAGAAATGTAACTCATGCATCAACTGCGGTTAGACAGATTTATGACACTTTGGGGACATGCTCTTTCCTCTCCCTGCGCTGCTGCAGACCGCTTACATTTTGCAAATCAGTCTGTTGCCAAGACGACGGGCTCCCCCACCTCCCCGGCTGCTCCTTGTTTTGTCATGTGCTCGGGGATGGATAATAGCATCAATGTATGGCGGCGTCGATGTACGGCAGCGTCAATGTACGGCGCGCGCGCGCATGGGGGGTTTTGGGAGCTTGGAAAGCTTGAGCTGAACCAGAGGGAGAGAAAGCCCGAAGGAGCCCAGGCGTAGGATGGATGGATGGAAAGGAAGGAACAAGCATGAGGCTATGGGCAGGGAGAACATAGGGAAATGCAAGAAGACAAATATCCCTCGGACAAAGTGAGAACAAAGACCTCGTTTGTACTTACTTCCCCCTGGCTTTGCCATTGGTTACCTAGGTGAAGGTTACATGTAGTGCCACTGCCCCTCCATGCCCATATTCATGCCCATTCCACTCATAGGTCCTAGAGGGAGATAAAAATCCAAGAAGATGCCAGAAAATGAGCAAAGTCAACAGATAGTGCCAAAAGCCCCTTTCCAAAACACAGCACCGGCAGAGGGTCCAGGACCACTCAAGCACGGAGGTGCCTGGTTTCCCTTGGCGGTGTGGAAGGCAGGCAGAAGACAGGTGAGGCAAGGCAGGCAGCTGGGACGGCAGCGGAGGGAGGAGGTGTGTTTACCTGCGGTGGCGCGACCGAGGCCACCTGTAGGTGGGTGACGCTGTCCCGGGGCTTACCTGGTGCTCGGATGCCCATGTGCTGCTGGCCGTCCATCACGAAACCTCCCATCGGCTGCCCGTCGGGGTTATAGGGTGTTCCTTGACTTACTGGAAAAGTGCAGAACATTGCTTTTTAGCAGCAGCCAAGAGGGTCACCTCTTCTCATGGCATCGAGACGCAAACACCCCCCACCCATGGGCTATCGATGTTGGCTCTAAAGAGAGGGAAAAATATCTACTGTGCGAATTTAGCGCCGGCCTAACAAGCACGCTTAAGTTTTGGCTTAATCTCCTTCTGCAAGTTTGGAAATGAAGTTTGCAAACTGAAATCTTGAGACATGAGGAGCCCCGGCTCCAGCTGCTGCCGCTGCTGACGTCAATGCAAAAACCTGTATAGGAGCCGGATTTTATGGCTGGAATAGTCACACTGAAATCACAGTGTGTTAAATTACGCCCCTGTGCCTTCTAAGAGCAGGATCTGAACATGTCCGTGCCAGATATTTACCTCTAATGACAAATAATCAAATGTACCTGAAGAGGAAGTGTGGTCCAAAGGCATCTTGGACAATGATGCATTTGGAGAGTTTGACAGTAAGACTTGGAAAACAAAACCAACTGGGACTAACGGGCTCTGGTAATCCTTGATGGTAAATACCCGCACAGAGCTGCGAGACAGGACCCCAGACAGAACCAGCATGTGGAAACTTAAGGTCTTTTAAAGAAATAGAAATAAATCTCCCCAAAGTAAACAGTAAACGCTCAGCAGTCCCAAAAGACAGTTACTAAAAAGAAGAGCCAAGGGACAAAAGAACCCTATACAAGTACCACTACCTGAACTGGAGGTTTTGACTGTACATTAAAAGCCGGCTTCAGAAGTAAGCTGCCTTGGGTTATTAAAGCACATAAAGCTCTACCTCATTGAATGTCTTTGAACTTTACTGAGTCCCACAAGCGATTCTGACCCCTTTGCCCTTTTGACAGGTAATAAAGTTTACAGCAATTCCACACCAAGCCATGCACCAGGGAGTGGTCACAGGAGCAGAAAGAGCTGGGAAGGAAAACTCCAAACAACTGCTAAAAAAAATAAGAATAATTGGGATCGTGTACAGAAAGTCCGGTCATGGAGCGGATCATTTTAGTTTTTCGTTTTGAATTTTCAATGTCTTTTTTTTTCCCCCAAATGTTTTTAATCATATTAAAATGATTAGAGTCGTAATGAAAGAAAGCTGGTTGTATTTTAATTGTCAATCACTCCCAGCATTCATTTCTCATTTATTTACCAGGTAATGGACCTCCCCGTGAATGGCTTGAGGATGGTTTTCGCCTGCGTGACTTGAATACAGTTACTATTGGGGACTTGCCTGCTCGATTGGACTGGTCTATCATGGGCTGAACTATTCTTCTTCTAGCATTAATAAACCTGCAAGAAAAAAAAAGGAAAGCAAATGGTTAGGGAAGGGATGTCTTCCACCCATCCCCAAGCCCTCTTGCCCTTGTTGTGGCGCTCTCCATCGAGCTGCGTGGGGATGCAAACACTGCTAAACCTCTAACCCTCATGACCTTTGAGAGCACGAGCTTGGGGTTTCCAAGCTGATTTATGTTTGCCTGCTTTTTACCACAGTTGGACACTTCCATTTCATCTTTTCATGGGGGAATTAGCCGAGTTTTCAGGAAACAATACCAGCAACGCTCTTCTCAATACAGAATGGGGCACCGAAAAAACAAAAACGTGTGAAGCGAGATGTTCGTGAGGGCATCTGCTACCACCCCCCTCATTAGTGTCGTTTCTGCCTTATGTCCTCTGACTTCTTTTTCCAATTTTTTTCTTTATCAAAACCTGCCCCTACCTCTTGCAAACCTAATTCCCTTTTAATGCCCACTATTAAGATAATGAACTGTGATGGCAGAACCCCATCAAATGAGGGAATGTCTGGACTTTTATCACCACTAAGTCACACTGCTGGGGACTTCAGAGCCATGCATTCCTCCTAGCCATTTCTTGGTGGGCTTTTTCCCCCCTCCCTCTCTTTATGCAAAGTCTGAGGGGGTCAAGGCGAGGTCATAGCTTTACAGTAATTGAATTTATAATCCTGTTTTCTCCAGCTAGGCCTGACCATTTACAGCAAACATCTTGTTAAACTGTAATTACTGGACTACTGAAAATTCCCCCCCGAACAATGAAAAGCAGATCTTTGGAAATAATAAAAAAAAGAAGGTACGGTCATTTTTAAAAATAGCCATCTGCAACCCTACTCCTTGTGTTTCTGTAGCTCTTCGCCTCAGTTAGTTCTGCAATGCTTATTTGGAAATATTCAAAATAATTTGGAGCAGAGCAGAAGAAGGAGAGAGATCACAAGTGCCCCAGTCTCCTCGTGGCGCTGAAGTCAGGAGGCTGGAAACCATGGCTGGGAACCTGTCTGAATGAAGAGCATTTGAAGAACCTCTCTTGAGATTTCACTCATCAGAAAGTTTAGTTAAAATCCATTAGGAAAAAAATCTTCAGAGAGATCTGATCACAGCAAAGTTGCCTAACTGGACTTTGCATTCTTTATGAGAGACAAAAAGAACAATAAAAATGTGTACGCTGCAATATTTACTAGTAAAGGAAGACGCATGAGCATTGCCTGAACCACACCACACTTGTAAACTGGGATGGGAAACTTCACAAAGGAATACTTGATACTTGTTTTCATTGCCTTTGATTGAGGTGGCTTAGCAGGAGCTCTCCTACCACAGAGATAAAGTCACCAGGATCTTTCTGCGGGAATCAGCTCTGCCCACCCATTCCCCTACACCAGAGGGGAGAAGAATAGCAAACCACTGCCCCATGCTGTTTCTTTTGCCCTCATCAAAGACCAGCATAGTGATTTCGGACTCCTCCTATCTCCCATTCCCCACTGACACCCATTACCCAAAGTCCTGCAAAAATTAATCAAGATGTTGAGTCCTTATCAAACCCCTTGTCTTGAGGAAATGGGCTCAAAGGCACCAAATCTGGGTGGCAATCTGGAAACCTTACACCTGAACTAGGTCATGTTTTGTCAGCAACAGTATTGGATCAATTTTTCTACACATTCCCAATAAACACCCCCCTCAATGCCAGCAAACAGTGTTGCAAATCAGTTTATCATTATCTTGTACAAACCATGAAAATTAGAATCATGTGAGCAGAAGGTTAGACTAATTCTCCTTTCTCATTATAAGCACAGGTGTAGCATAAACACCATGTGAAATAAGCAATTAAAAGAAATCTGCTTTTTTTCCCCCATTAGCTGCCTTAGCTCCATGACCAATTGGAAAATTGTTTAATATCTGTAATCTGCATTTGCAGAAAGCAATTTTCACAGTAACTCTTCGAAGTAAAACAACAACACAGAACCCTAGTGCCTCAGCCACTTCTTTTTGCAAGTCTGGCAAGGCTCTTGCTGTGTTAACTCCATCCTTCTCCTGCCACATTCCCAGGACCTGGTACTGTGGAAGTGGGGGGAGGATTTTTGGTAGCCGTGAGAGTGACTGGTCACCAAAACCTTCATTTCTTTCAATAGCTTTGACCCCAAAGAAATGCTGAGCAACATCAAGCATGCACACCCCAACTCCAAGACCTTCTCCTCCTTCTCCTCCAAACTACAAGCACTTTTAAGAAGAAGGGGGGGATCTCAACATAACAAACTATACTATACATACTTTATACACTAATATACCAGAATAAACTACATATCTAGAGTTTACCAATAATTATCCACAAGATGTGCCTACGGTAAAACATATTCTCACCCGCTTGCCCCATGCTATCACTTGGGATATCTGCTTTAGGAACGTTTTACACACAGGTACTTAACAGTTATCTTCTTCCTACGCATTCATGTAAGTATTTTCTATAAGTAGCAATTCTGCCAAACAGCCCAGTGTTTGGATGTCTTCGGGGGAAATTCAGACGCAAGAACATTTTCCTTCTGGGCAAAGTAATAAAATGACATTCTCGCTCCTCCCACTAGAAGTCAAACGGAGGTCAGCTCCCCATCCTTGTATCTGTTTAAATAAACTGGTCCAGCTGTTTGTTTCCAGGATGCCCTTTAACCTTCTGTCCCATCCTCCCTGCCTTTGTAACACAACGCTTTACTTTGCATTATAGTAGACTCCAAACCACTATGCATTAAAAAAAAAAAAAAAAGAAAAAGAAAAAAGAAAAATAAAGAAGAAAGTATTCACTTTCAAGTTTCTTCCTGCATCCTAAACCTGGAATTCCTAAGAACCCATCAGATTAAAACTATTAATGTGGCTTGCCCTGAGAGAGCACAATGCAGTGCTACTATGTTTATAAATCATATTTGAGAACTCTTTGCAAGCAAAACGGCGAATTAGCTGTTGCTGCAGAAATACATGGACATGGGGTTAATTTCTTTATATTCTGGTTTTGTTTTTTTTTTTTCGCTTTGAGAAAAGGGCCAGGATCTTTTGATCACTCTTTGAATTCCCAGGGTGCCAGGCTGATGTTAACATCAGCAAAAATGACGGAACAGAAAAGCTAACAGGAAAAATCTCCCTGTCCCTTTTCCCAAATCCACCTATCTTAAGAGAAGAAACCCTAAGTCACTCTAATTTTTAAAAGTTCAGAGGAATCAGGACCTAAAAAAGATATTTGCATACTAAATGCTACTGAATTGGAGTATTATCAAAATACAACTCAGAATAAAACTTAAGACAGATGTATAACCTCACTCATGTGCGTAAAGATCCAGTCAGGCTCAAAAACTTGTATAAGGTATTTTTCCCCATACCAGTGGCTCTATGCATTGGTACCTTTGCTCTGATGAAGAAGGGTTTTTTTTGTTTTGGGTTTTCTGCCTCAAAAGAGTAGTGGCACAGACAACACAAGATCCCTCAGTGTACAAGTTGTACCCACCTCCCAGTCCAAGGAGAGCTGAGAACCTTTCAAAGTGATTTGGGCTGCTTTGTTCGAGCTTTTTTTTTTTTCATTTTTTGTTTTGCGAGGGGAAGGCTCTGGCACGGAGAAAACATTTGAACAGTTGGGCAAACACAAAAGTTTAGGGTATTTACTATTTTTTTTCAATTTAAGTTTTCCTTGCCCTATTTGGACACAGGGGATTGCGCTTTCTGCCGCGTCCCAAAAAGCAAGAAAAAACCAGCAACTCCACCTGCATAAGCCTAAAGAGGAGGAGGAGGAGGAGGAAACCCTCTTTTCTCCCATTTGCATTTTACTAGGATGTTTTCTCTTAGGCTTCTCGCCTGGGGTCTGTCTCCAGAGGTCACTGGCAGACTCCCCTGTTGGTGCATCGCCGGTCCCACGGGTGAGCTCCAGCCCCAGCCCCAGGGATGCAGCAATCTGCCTCTGCACTCTGACCTTCAGCTTGGCCGCCCTCGCTGCCACGCACAAGTTTTGTTTCTTCTCAGCAAGAGGCTGCATGGCTGGTGATGACAAAAGACTTATTTTAGTTGGAAATTGGCTACAATAATAGCAGCCAGAGAGCAAGGATTTTCAGAGGGTCACCAAACCCTCCGAAAGGCACAGCTCGCTAAGGCTCAGGTTACAGCCCAAGTGACATTTTCCGCACAGATCTGTTCTTTCTCCCTTCCCCTTGTATTTCGCTTCTGTTGAGTGAATAAAACAAGACCTTCCTCTGCTGTCACAAATTTCCAAAGTCACCTTTGCTCAAGAATCGACAGAGCGATTGTGGGGACTTCCAATTTGCAGTCTTTCAATGAAATTTTCCAGGACCAGCTGTCTGAAAGATGATGCTGAGACTTTGCGGTCTATTGAATTTTTCTCTGCCCCCAGTCCTCCCAAATGAAGAGAGTTTCACACCATTACTGACTTTTGCTACTTGAAGTCGCAGGCTGGTCCCTCTCAATATTGTCCCAAAGCGCTGCATGACAGAAGTCTGTGTCTCACCAGCAGTGCCAAGAAGTTCCCAAAAATCTCTCTCATTTTCTCCTTGAGCTCCTTCTAGCAAACCAGGAGTAAGGAGGATGAGAAAGCCCAAAAGCCTACAAACCCCAGTGCTAAAACCTCTCTTGCCCCTCTGAAAAAAAACAGTATCCCTCTTGACAACAAGCAAATCGTTTTTATAACAGATGCCAAAGTAACCAGAGCCCTTCAAACTGGCAAATTATTCACTTGTAAAACCAAGTTGCACTCTTTTCTGCATACTGGGATCCTTCATTTACACAGCAGCGAAACAACCTTCTCTATTCAGCACTTAATTCCTCAACGCTTAACAGGTTTATCTCTAATAAAACCAATTTAAATGGAAAGTGTGCTATAAACCGAGATTATTACACTTCAGTAACTGCTTTATTCCTTATTTTAACATATTTTCATTTTTTCCCTCTGTGTTTGTTTTCCAGAGCTTTTTAAAGGAGTCAGTTAAAGAAAAAAAAAACACAGAAATTATTTCACCG